ACAGCTGTATTTCAAAGTACAAGCTCTAAAAGTTCTTCCTGTTCTACCAGTGTCTTGCAGTGGAGGCTGCTATTTTTTTCAATCTTTGCTAACCTTTTTCTGTGAATACAGAGGTGCACACTTGCACATTTTGTGTGACTTACTTCATCTGAGATGCTTTCACTTTATTCCTGTTTGAAACTTTCAGCCAACACATTTGAAAAGAGCACCATGATTTCTGTTTAACAAAATGTGTGATAATCAGAATTGGTCAGTTCTCCATCACTGATGTCACTTGGTCTTAAAAATTGGTCCCCAGGCTAGACTGTGAACTATCTCATCTGTCTTTAATTGTGTAAATTTTAAGCTTCATAATATGTAAGTTAGTCATGTAACCTAGCAACGTAGTCAAGAGAAAAAAAAATTGACCTTGAATCTAGTTCAACAGATCTGTAGAGAGAGAGAGAGAGGGAGGAGGAGGAATTAAATTCCAGAAATGCTTGCCTCTGTGTTTTGCAGGGGGAGTGTTGTTGCCTGTCTTCTGAATGTCTAGATCAAAATAAGATGAATTCCACCATCAGTATTTCTCCCAGGGATATGATATTTTTGTATTGCAGTAGAACAGAGAAAAGAAGGATCATCTGGTTAAAAATCATTATTCCTTGAACATCTTACAGTATTGCAGCAGTATTTTGTAGTCTTTCTACCATTGAGTCGCTCTGCTTCTTGTTCTATTCTTACAGTTAGCAATCACTACAAAATTAAGCATGTTTTGATGTTACAAAGTAACAAGAAAACAGCTTTATTTTGCTTTTTTGAATAATTTCCTATTCAATATATGTATTTAAGTCTCTGCTATAATTTTATGTGGCACCTTACCACATGCTGGATTTTATATTCATCTTTATTCTTTATTTTTAGACCTTTTCTGTATTCTAAACTCATAATTTTGAAGTAATTAGAATGCCAAATAGAATGAAGCTTATTGATACACTGTAAAGTTATGAATGTAGGTGAATGCTAGGCTTAGCATAATTTAAAAAGCAAAGTACTAAATATTTTCTGGTGAGTGTATTAGGAAGTTTGTAGATAAGCAGAAGACTTTTGTAGTCTGAGAGTAAGATGGGCTGTAAGATTTCTGTGTATCGTAGAAGTACTAGTGGATTATTCATAATTAAAACCTCCTTTACTCAGATCAGTAAATTGCTGTATTTTGTAATGTAGTCTGTTTCTTTAAAAAAAATAAATCCTGATTTTGAGTAATACTTCTAATAATTCTTCCTTTCTATCTAATTTTTTGTATCTGTGCTTGTGTTCTTATGTATGGAGAAACTTCAAGTCCTGAGATACTCTTCTCTACTCCCCACCCCTCCATTTTTTTTTTTTTTTCCCTTAACTCCTCATTGTGTATTTGCAGGATATTGTTACTAGAGTTAGACTTGCTAATGTCTATAAGATGGATCAGAAGGAAGGTCCAAGAAACTACAGGCCTGTTAGCCTGACCTCAGTACTGGGGAAGATCATATAGCAGATCATTTGACTATGATAATGCAGTACCTCTGTGACAGCCAAAGGAACAGACCCAGCCAGCATAGGTTTATGAAAGGCAAGTCCTGCTTGACCAATCTCATCTCTTTCTATGACTTGGTGACCTGCCTGGTGGATGAGTGAATGGCTGTTGACATATTCTACCTAGACTTCAGCAAAGCTTTTGACTCTTCCTCTCACAGTATTCTTCTGGAGAAGCTGGCAGTGTGTGGCTTAGATGAGTGTACTCTTTGCTGGGTAAAGAACTGGCTAAATGGCCGGGCCCAGAGAATGGTGGTGAATGGAGTTAAATCCAGCTGACAAATGGTCATGAGTGGTGTTCCCCAGGGGTTGGTGCTAGAGCTTGTCCTCTTCAATATCTTTATTGATGACCTGAACAAGGGGGTTGGGTGCACCCTGAGTAAGCTTGCAGATGACACCAAGTTGGGAGAAAAGGTTGATCTGCCTGAGGGTAGGAAAGCCCTACAGAGGGATCTGGTTAGGCTGGATAGCTGGACTGAGGCCAATGGGATGAAGTTCAACAAGACCAATTGCCAACACCTGCCTTTTGGTCACAATAATAACCGTGCAATGCTACAGACTTTGGGCAGAGTGGCAGGAAAGCTGCATGGAAGTAAAGGACTCAGGGAGTACTGTTTGATACTCGGTTGAACATGAGCCAGCAGTGTGCCCAGGTGGCCAAGAAAGTCGATGGCATCCTGGGTTGTATCAGAAATAGTGTAGTCAGCAGAAGCGGGGAGGTGATTGTTCCTCCACACTCAGTAGTGGTGAGGCCATACCCAGAGTGCAGTGTTCAGTTTTGGGCCTCTCACTACAAGAAATACATTGAGGCCCTGTTGCACATCCAGAGAAGGGCAGTGAAGCTGTGAGGGATCTGGAGCATAGGTCTTACGGGGAGTGGTTTAGGGAACTGGGTTTGTTTCCTCTGTAGAAGAGGATGCTCAGGGAGAATTTATCGCTCTCTTCTCCACATCTTCTCCCAGGTAACATCGATAGGATGAGAGGTAATATTTTTAAGTTGCACCAGGTGAGGTTCAGATTGGATATTAGGAAAAAAATATTCTCAGAAAGACTGGTGAGATATTGGAACAGGCTGCCCATGTAGACGGTGGAGTCACTGTCCCTGGAGGTGTTCAAGAAACATGGAGAAGTGGCACTGAGGGACATGGGTCAGTGGGCATGGTGGGGATGGGCTGATGATTGGACTAGACGATCTTGGAGGTTTTTTCCAACATGAATGATTCTATGATTCTGATTCGATTGCTTGGTGGCTTGTAAGTTACAACGTGCCTTTAATGTTTTGAAGAACTTGAATGTGAAGAAACTGTTTTGCCTGATTTTGCAAAGGCTTTATGTGCTGATATTATCTATTACATGCTTCAAATTGAATTAGAATAGCAGTATAAAGCATATCTTAGAATAGAACTGTGCTGTGAAAAACTGGATAAAACATTTTTGGTTTATGTACATTAAACAAATGGGATGCTATTTTTGAACTGAACATTATTACAGTCAACGTATTCCAGGGAAAAGATTTTGTGGATCTTATTGTATTTTTTTCTTTTCTGTGTTTATTCTGATTTAATGCATTTTGGTGTAGATAGCTATGATATCTATGAAATTATGTTTTTAGTTTAATAAAAGATCAGACTTTTTTAATAGCAGTTGTTACGAATATGAATAGTGGCTTAAGCACAAACCTGCTTTATATACATAGAAAATAAATTTGAGCAAGAGATGTCTTCCACTATTCTGAAGCTGTATTTCACTCTCATCTTAAGAGACCCCTGGGGACGTATTCTAATACATGCTATGTTGTACCAGGCTGGAAGACAGTTCTTACGTAGACAATTCTTGTAGTTGGTGACAGGTGAATCTGAGATCAAAGTCCAGTCAGTGTCTTAAGTTTTAAACTATCTGTGAATGACTTTGTAGCTTGAAGAGAGATGGGACATTCAATAGCTTTCTCAGTTTTTGAATAAAATAAAATCCAAGAATAAATTACTTTTCTCATAAGATGTTTGAGAAGAATGACTAAGATCGTGAAGGATGAAAAATATGGCAGAAATGAGGTAGCTATTGTGAAACTGTCTGTTAGTGTGGTTTGCTTGTCTAAATGAAATGAAGCGATTGTCCTCTTCTGTACTTCGACTGACTGAATTTTTCTGTTCTTACATTTTCTGTTGCATCCTACATATATGTTTGTTAGAAAAACATGTTCTTAGAGACAATTGGCAAATCTCGTCTCATTTTTTAAGTTATTTTCTAACATTAGCTAATACAGTAGCTTTTAGTATGATAGTAGTAGTTCTTGGAGTTTACTATCTCTGCAGGACAAGAAAACACAATTTCAAATGGAGATTAAAACTTAAGAACTTCTCAGTCCCATCTATAAAGTTATGATGAATTGCCACCTTATAAATTTTATATCTGATGAACTTGTATCTTAGTGTCTACCTGGACAACTGTAACTACATTACAAATCCATCTAGAAATACCCAGATCACCATATATGTCTGGACTAAATATTGGTGTGTATCAAATTGCATTCATTCCACATGAAGTAGCGTAAATTATCATGTAGTTTTACTAAGTGTTGTTTGGGCTTCAGAAAGTACTCAGTCATCATACTGTACAAACATACATGTAATACTGTGGCGACATAGCCGTGACAAACTCACAGTAATGAACAGTGTATTATACTTTTTCTCTTCTCTAAATCCTTATTTAGATCAAGTTTAATGTAAAATCTTCGTGTGTCCATGTAGGATGCCTACCTTCCACAGTAATGCTGATACAACACAAATACACGAAAAGATTTGACAGCACCAGAATTGCTGGGGCTTTTGGATTACTTGCCCAGTTTACATCTTAGGTTCTCACCAAAGAGTGTTTGTCTTCGCATTTAAAAACTCTCTTTTATCACATAACTGATATTTTGCAATTCATATCTCATTCATATTTTTAAAAATTAGAAAATAGTAGCACCTTTTTAGTGTTATTAGGGCATAAGCTGTTGAATGCAATTTCCACAGACTTCAAGCCTTAAAAACTAATAATTAAATTCATCACACTATTCAGAGGCCAGGAACTATTTTGTGCTTTCTAAAAATAAACAGGCTTCACTACAGTACTCCTAATGACAAATGAGAAAACAATCTTTTATAAAAACAGTAGGGTATTTTTTTTATATTGTGTATTTTTCAAGTATGATTTTTTCGAACAATGAAGTAGCTATTTCCTTGGCTTTTAGTTATTTCTTCTAAGAAGAAAAGATTTAAAAAGAAAACACGAACAGCCTCTACCTGCCAAAAGCACAGTATGAGTATATCACTGTAACTAACCTATCTGCAGACACTTATCTTGATTCATAAGAGAAATATGCACAGTGTGTCTTTGTTATATTTTTTATTTAATATTTGATGCTTGTTTTCTTCCTCTGTGTGCTGCATTTGACTTTTTGTATTGCACAGGGTTAGTGAACGTGAAGCTGCACTGGAATCAGCCCTACTGATGTTGCAGGAATTCTACCTGGATCTTGAAAAGTTCCTCGCATGGCTTACAGAAGCTGAAACAACTGCTAATGTCCTGCAGGATGCTACACGCAAAGAAAAGACACTAGAAGATCCCCAGATGGTTCGGGAGCTCATGAAACAGTGGCAGGTAAGTCAGGTGCTTCAGTTCAGAGGCATGTCTGTTATCCAACGAGACTTTTTTTCCCCAGTGTGCAGCTACTCAACAAAATCGAAATAGTACTGAAAAAAAAAATCTGACTGCTGCTAACCCTTAAGTGTTGCTTTGTTGGAGAGATCTAAGGTCAGTTACACTGATTCTATCTGACATCTTTCAGCATATATTGAATTTGAAGTGGTGTCTTGAAGTACAGATCAGAAAGGAAACTTTGTTGAAGTGGGTGCTTAGTTTAGTGTTTTTATCTAATAAAAATGAATTATTCTGCCACGTTACAGTCTTGAACTGAGCAAATGACAGAGATGAGAGTTTCTTAAGCATTTCTGATATTTATAGAGATTACATGAATAGTTTCAAGTTTATTCTGTGTAGCTTAACTGAATTAGTTTTCATCCATTACTTTCAAATGTGTTAAATGTTAATCAGGTGTTTGGCTGATCATTGTCACCATTTTCTGTGACAATAACAAAAAGAGATAACAATAAAAATTGCCATAGAGAGTATCTGGACAATTTTCAGAGAGTTGTTCTGTGAGAACCAAAAATCTTAATAAAGAGAGTAAATGATGTATTTGGTGTTCGAGAGAATTCAGAGGAGAAAGAAGAATAAATTATGTGATGGTGCTCTTCAGGATCTGTTGTTATACTTTCGTTATACTGTCCTCATTATTATTGAGAGGAATGTGTGTATGTCTGCATGAGTTCTTAAATATCTTAAATATCAGGTTAACTGGCTGTTTTAGAGGGCAGGATCCTATCAAACAAATTAGATGATTTTTATGTTGACAAACCTGATATTCCAGTCAGTGAAGACTCTGTTTTTTGGTTTATTTCTGAAAAACATAATGTGCAAAATCATATTTATAAGTGGTTATATGCATAGTAAATGGAAGTATTACTACCTTCTTTTGGCACTATTGTATTAACCCATGGTTTTAACTCTATGACTGAACTGCTGCTGAATTCTGTTATGCTAGAGTTTTGAACCAATTGTCGTGGTGTTGTACAGAAGCAAGATCTGAGCCATTTTTAATGGTGAGTTTTCTTTATAATAGTTGTACTATACACTTAGACATCTGAAGTCTCCATGTATTTCTGAATTCAGTTGGCATGAACCCAGAGAGCGGGTTTGTGTGGATAATAGTGCTCTCCTGAGCAGTTAATCTTCAGTACAAGCTGTCTTTTTCTATTTTGTAGATTAGGTTTGGTGGTATTAAAACAATGGAGTTATCAGGTATTTGCCAAAGTTTTTTTTTGTTTTTCCCATATGATCACTGAAAAATGGATTATTGGTCAAAAAAAGAGATTCCTAAAAATTTAGGTCAGAGTTTTGTTCTTGAATGTACTGGAGCTTTGTAGACCTGTTTATCCATCTAGTAACTAAAGTTCCATCTAGTAACTTTTTTTTGTAAATTTCCATATAGGTAACGTCCACATCCATAGACAAAAGGAAAAATAAATGTGTACAAGTCCTTCCCCTCAAAAATAAAAGCATAAAAATAGCTACAATTCCATCATGTAAATAATTGCTTTGGACTGTAAGCTTTTTTTCTCTTTTATGCTCTTAAATTGAGATGTAAGATGAAAATTTTGTTTTTTTCCTTTCCCTATTTTTGGTATGTAAGTATCAAGTCTTCTAAAGAAAGAAAGATAAAAACTACACTGCAGCTGCCATTTCATTTCTAAAAAGCTAGAATCTTTCTGTTCACTAACCTTGGCTGTACGAGAAAAAATATATATCTTTAAAGAAATATTAGTATGCTGAGGGGAAAAAAAAAAAAAAAAAAAAAAAGCAGCAGTTCTACTGTCTTTTGTTTCTAAAAGATTCATATGTATGTGTCCAGCAGTAGCACAAAACATATGGGCTTTGGGTTAGAATTGGTAATTAAAGGAGCAAATATTTTGACAGTGGTGGTTTTTTAAATTCTTTGTATCTTCGTATTGATCTGCGTCTGTTAGATGGACCTGGTTTTCTTCCTGTGTTATCTGCCTATCTCGGTTTTTGTCAGCCTCTTTATGTCATTCTTAAGCCTCCCGAAGAAATCTCATAATTCACAAGCAGAAGTGGTTTGCAAATGCCCTTCTCCTGAATGGAGCCTGATTGCTATCTTTCTAATAGCTGGTAGAATTGTCTTGTTTCATTTTTTTTATGAAGCCAGAATAATCCAAGCCAGGATATTAAAGAGTGGGAATTTTTACTCGTGTATGTAGATAACTCATTGAATCAACAAGAAAAGCAGAAAACTCAGAAATACATTACAGGAGAATTAAGTAATTAGAGAGAAAGAATTTGGTCCAAAACAGCAGAGAGTATATTATAATGATCATTGCAAAAAGATCCTGCAAGGAAGATTTGCAGCCATACTGCTGTCTGTGCCATTGGAGATATGTCTGTAAATATACATGTTTATACGTATCTAAATCGTCCCAGAGAGCTGCCCAGTACGTGTCTTCCTTGTGCCCTACCCAAGTGTAGGAAAGGCTTGAACTGCTTTCAGCTACAGTTGCATTTTTCCAATTGACTCTTGGTTTTCCACTTGAAATCAGATCTATATATTTTTTTTCTCTCACCAGGTAGGCCAGGTGCAGATCGTAGGAGTGAAAAACAGAATAGGTAGTTTCTGATTAAAGATCACCATCTCCCAATCTTTTGAAAGAAAGTTTGACTATTTAGGCTTATGGAGTTTATAGAAGTTACACTTAAGTGTGATAGATGCAGTTAGATTTGCAGTCTTGTTCTTCATGAAGTTGCATGGACATGCAGACTGTGAAAATATGTGCGATGAGATGTTACAATTCTGAATTAATTTGCTATTTTTAGGCAGTAGATGTAAATCAGTGCTTTGATGAACAATGTTACCTACAAATAATGAAAAAAAACTAAATTTGTGAGCTCAGTAGTAGCTTTATCTCCTTGTCACTAAAGATATTTATTTGTCTTACCCTTGGTGATCTATCAGCTTTTTGCTTTACATTCTCATTGTTATTATGAAAATAATGTTTTGCTGCCCTGAAAGCACAGCAGGAATTGTTTGTACTGGAAAAATCTCTCATTTCTGAGCGTTTCCTTTTCTTTACACATTAGAAACAATTTGATCAAATGTCACTAATATTCATCTTCCCCTGATGCTCAGCACTTCATTCATTAGCACAGGGAAAAGGTGAGGCTTACATAACCACTTTTTAATTACATGATGATGTATATTATATCAAATGGTTGCACTATAAATACTTGGTTTGCTTATGTAAGCTTGTATTTCTATGCATCACCTGTCTGAATTGACTGCAATGTAGTAATTGAGGTGATTCACACTTTCAAAACACTTTCTGGGAGGATTTTCAAGGATAAAAACCAGTTTCTTCAAAGAGTTGAATGATTATGTGCTGATTTGTATTGTCTAATTTAAATGTATCATGTGTCCCTATCAGGCCTTATTTGATATATAAATATGTGGGAGAGATGAAAATAATGAATTTTCCTTTTCATTTTCATATTTCTAAGAGATACAAATTCTCAACTGTGTTAATTACTCCTCCCATTCATCTTTACAGAAATAATTCTATGTGACATTTTATACAGGTTATTAAATACTAAATGTAATTTTTACATCGTTGTGGATTTATCTTAGTATTTTATGAATGCAGTCACTTTATATTAAGCCTGTAGGTGAATTTACTTATGTATTTTATCACTGAAATTTGTCAAAGAATACTGCACATAAACCTATTTTAACAGTAACTAGAGTGTGCTTCTATTCTGTTTACAGATTACCGGATATATCCAAAGTAATCTACAGTGTTGACTGATAAAGATTACAAGTATGACAACCTAAGATAAATGAGGCAGTCTTAATAGCTTCGGCTTGGAACGTGTATCAATTTTTACCATCTTCATGCTCACTTAACCTATGATCTAGATGGTTTTCCATCAGATTCAGGAGTTTTGGTGTTAATAAGAAGAAAAATATGTAGTGCTGTAAGTTACACTTAAAAATGTGCAGTATGAAGAGTAACAATATTTTTCCACAGTAGCTAAAACAAGGTACATGAACTTCAGGCAAAGCTTTATTGGTGTGTTTGTTTTTTTTTTTGCTTTCCTGTTTCTATCAATACTTCAGAGGTGTTTGGCTATTCTTACTATTTCCAAGCAACTGTTTTCTCAACAGTACAAAGATGAAGTAGATACACATTCCTCACTCTACTCTTTTAAAAAGCAGAACAGATATTTTAAGAAAATAAAATTTTGCAACTCAATTCCATAACTTACTTATGATTGCTCATCACACTTAATTTTATTAGGTGGTGTACAAATTAGGTCATGACTAATAGAGAAAAGTATTTGTAGCATTCTTACTCAGATCAGTTGACTTAATTAGTAATTACTTGATAGTAATTAATTTTCTGATGCTTCCAGTCTAGATTCTGAGATACTTATTCACTTTTGCTTGAAATCATGCTCTGAAAACTGAAAATCAAGCATGATCATCTTATCTCATGTTTTTTCTTTTTTAAATCTAATACTCCATATTTACCTATTACACCAGCCAGATACCAATTCTGAAATATAGTCTTCTCCACAGGAAATGTAATAGCAATAGTCAGACACATCCTACTCCATCAGAAGTAGAAGATAAATCCCTAAATACAGTTCTTGTTGCAAGTGCTATGACAGCCTTATCCGATACAGGGCAAAATACTGTCTCAAAGTATCAAAAGTTACGGTATGGATTTTGTGAAATACTTACATAATGCTATTTTTTAAATGCCTTGTCAATAAGTGTTCATTTTATTAATTGGTGGAGGATGATCATTTCTTTGTTGTTAAAAGCAAAGATCAAACTGATCAAATGAAAACTCTATGAACATATGAACAGTTTCAGTTTTGATAGTCACAGCTCTCTTGAGCAGCAAGAAGACTCCCTCATAGCCAATTAATGTTTAGTGGCTCTGGAGCTTATGAAGGGAGGAATAAGA